AATACAACTTAACCACTGATTTCTAGTCGTGTCCATTTTTGGAAGACCAACCAAAGTAGTTTCGCTTTCACAACGAAAAACAGCGTCACATACGGCGGGCTAGAGTGAGCGGCGGCGGCCTAGAGTGAGCAGAGGCGTTTAATATTTGATGACTTTATTCAATTTTTGTAGCGTTTCTTGAATATTAGGCCTACCTGAAAAAAAAAACTTAAAGAACTATTTAATTTATGTCGTTGTTGTAGTTTTATTTGTCCTATTGCTTGTGATTTTCTTATTTATAATGGCGCCGACCATAATGGCGCCGACGCTGATGGCTGCCTCCATGGCGTGCTCCGCAGTTGTTTTTATGTTTTTGTTAGTTTGTCCTGTCTTTAGTTATATCTCTGCAATCAGTTTCACCAGAGACGAATTGCTGGACATTCGGAAGTACACACCACCCGATATTTCACCGGTTTTCGATTATTCTGATGTTTTGCTGGACATTGTTGTCGGGGGAGCTGCGGCGCTGATCAACCGCTTCAGGACGCGCAGACGGGGGAAGCGAGCCGGCGCGCTCGTGAAGCTCAGTAAACATACCTGGCAATAAAGCTCATTCTGATTCTGATTCTGATTTTTTATTACTAAGTGTTTACTTAATTGCTTAAGAGGTAGTATGGGGGGCAACATGCTTATTATCCAAATTAGGAGGCCATGAACTCTTGTAAACATCTGTAAATATGACGGTAGCTGATGCTGATGTAATTCTCGGCCACTCCCATAAATGACACCTGTCTTTTTGCCTTTATATAAGCAAACTGGCAGTGAAATTCTGATTTAGGATCCTGGATCTGCAGTCATATCATAAACATGGACCTTGAGCTTTAAAGCAGTGAAGACTTTCTCCATGGAATTTCTTGAACATCACTGCTTCCCCCACCGTAATACAAGCTGCTCTCTTGACTTTCATTTGACTTATGTCAATGTATTCTTGTTCTTGTACATATCTGCAGTTTCTGTGCTGACAGTGTTTGGAAATCTACTTGTCATCATCTCTATAACAGTTTTCAAGCAGCTTCACACACCGACCAACCTCCTCATCCTCTCACTGGCCCTTTCTGACTTCTTGGTGGGAATTTGTGTGATGCCGGTTGAAAGCCTTAGGAGCATAAACTCCTGTTTTTATATGGGAAAGTCGCACTGTCGGATCTTTCATGTGATTATGTCTGTTCTTGGATCTGCTTCACTCATTAATATCATGCTTGTAGCAATTGATCGTTATTTTGCTGTATGTGAGCCACTCATGTATATGTCTAAAATGACAATTAGAAAAACACTGATGTGCATAAGTTTAGGATGGACTGTGTCCTTCTGTTATAATCTAGTACCAATGAATTTAGGGAATTCAAACCTGACAGGAACAACTGTCTTCTGTATAAGGGAATGTGCAGTGGCTGTCAGCAACGCCTGGGGTCCAGCTGACCTGATAGTGAGTTTCATTGCTCCATGTACAGTAATGGTAATACTGTATATAAGAATTCTCACTGTGGCTTTGAGACAAGCTAAAGCCATTTCCATTACTTCAAAGAAAATGGCATCTCAGAAAAATCCAAAATCATTCAGGAAATCAGAGGTGAAAGCAACAAAAACATTGAGTATAATTGTCTTCGTGTATTTCATGTGCTGGGTTCCCTGGTATATAAGCATGCTTAATATGAAACAATTTCAGAAGTCATCTGTCATCCTCTCTGCTTTACTGTGTTTGTTTTACACTAATTCATGCATCAATCCCTTTATATATGCAATATCTTACCCCTGGTTCAAAAGGTCAGTGAAGCTTGTGCTTAGCCTAAAAATAGTGCAGACAGCAACTAACCAGATGAACTTATTTCCTGAAGACTGTTAATATGAAAATGCATGTATTTGTTACAAAGATTATGTTTGCATTGGTGATCTTTGTTGGCCTTTTACATCCTTGATTATCTTCGTTTAGAATGACAGTGCAAAAAAGACTTTAAAATTAGGAGACGTTAAAGTGTGAAGAGAGCTGTAACTGTCTTTGTGAATTTTAATGATGAATAATAGTTAATCCATGTGTAAGTCATAATTAATATTAAAGTCTACTATTAATATTAAAGCAAACACATGAACAAGTTATGGTTTCTTTTTGAGCGGAGGTAAGTCTTATATTTAGAGACAGCCATCAAATATTTGGGAATGAAAATACCTGGTACACAAATATCCTGAACTCACGCGGAAGATTGAAGCGAAATCACGTGACTCAGGCGTCAAGAAATCAGCTGGGGACTCGGAGTTTCACTCAGGAAATCCAGGTAAACTAAACAACCAACGTAAGTTACATATTAAAGTAGAAGACGTGTCATTATACACAGTGTAAGTACAATGACTTAATTAAGAAGGACTTTACAGAAAAGGTCAGAGAGAAAGTGAAAAGAAGCGTCGCTGATTCTGAACTTCATTCAGTGTGTTCATTTTGACAGCGCGTGACCTAAACATTTATTTTAAACACTCCCATACTTTCATATTCCTGACCATTCTTGGTGAATGTTTGGTGTGTGTCAGTGAAGTAAAAATAAAAACTGTCTGATTTTATAAATGAATGTGTTTCTGAGTTCTGGCGCTGTGATTTCCGCATTCTTTCGTTTTGCAGGTGCAGTAGAGGTCGGTAAACTAGTCAAATGAACAAGGTGTGCTAGTTAGCCTGCTAGCGTTTGAACAACACTAGCTATTTCCGTATCATTATTGAACTATTAAGAGATATTTCAATAAAGCGAGGCACGTAGTCATACAATATGGGGCAAGTTGTCACAATAGGAAAGGCACATTATAGGATTTATAGAATTTACCATTATTCTGTTATGGACTGCAAATAGTATAAATAATACTTTGTCCAACATTGTAGCGTTTACAACACATGACAGCTTTCCCAGACATGACATTTATGAAAAAAAAAAAAAAAAGAATTAAACTTTTCCGTTTAAATCTACCTTTATAGTCAACTCTTGTCTGAATGTATGAACTATAGCACATAAGTGTAATGATATGTGAAAATTATTGGAGGACAGAATGCACAAAAATATTTTAAGAGTTCGACTATTTGAATTTAAGACAAACTAGGTGTTCAAAAGTAACATAAATATATTAAGAAGGATATATTATGATATGTTTTATTTATAAAACAGCTACTATATATAGCCTACATACACATGTTTTCCCTGTAATTCTGAGAGCAAATGTGATTTAACATGTAATCTTTCTAGGTTTGGTGAATTATTCTGTGAAGATCTCCATCATGTCCAGATCAAGCGGAGTTGACGCAAATGTGCTGGCGCAGACTATAAGTTCAAATATCCAGAGAATAACATTGCTAAGTGAGTAATTTTACTACATCCACATCCATCCTGTTGGCTGTTGGCCATAAATATTGAACCAGCATACGTTTATATATATATATATA